GGTCATAAATCGAGGATTACCTGTACACATTGCTTAGATATCTGTACGGGTGTTTCCCTGCAGTGTAGCTGCAGACCAATTCCTGAACTCCCTTACATTATATTATTTCTATAATTCTCTTCTGTCAAAAAGAATAGCTTTTTTAAATCACCCAACCTCTGTGCAACTGAATAGAGAGGTAATATTTCCACAAAGTGATGGTGATTGGAAGCCAACTTTGTAGGAAAATGGTTTCTTTTTCTTTTGCAGGTTTGGTGATGACATTCCCGGTATGGAAGGCTTGGGAACAGGTATGAAGGATCGATTTATTACCTTAACTGAAGTGCTGACGTGAGGCAGTCAGGTTTCTGCAGATTCCTTGCAGTTTATCCTTCTCCACATTGCTCTGGGCAGGTCCAGCTGTTTTCAGGCACCGATGGGATATTTTGGGCAATGTCACAACTACCATTGAAAACTTTCTACTGTCCATGGTTTGCTTCCTGTCTAAATTTACTGAATTCCCTCAGTAAACTGTTGAATTCCTTGTTCCTGTAATTTTACTCCCTTATTATATTTTGGCAGTTACATTTTTGTTCTTTTTTTATAAGGAGTCTTATAAAATATAATCTACAACAGATATTTACCAATTTGTTTTAGGGAGGATCAATCCTAGAACCTGCTCCAAAAAAACAGGGAATTACTATCTAGTAGGCAGATCTGGGCAGAGCCAACACGAATCCCCTGACTCCTCTTAACTGATTTGTATGATTATTGGTAGCAGCTCCAGACCAGCAGGTGCAAAATGGCCATTTTCAGCCAAATTGTATTCATGGGTATCCTCGTATTTTCTTATCTGGAGGTTTTTTTCCCCATCCAGGATTGCAAAAGGAGAATTATATTTATCCAAGTGGTTCTTCCACAGAAATTGGCTTCTGGGGAACATTAGAGTGGGGGACAGGGCAGTACAGTAAGTTTCAGAGTATAAGATGCACCTTTTCCCCCCTAAAAGAGCATGGAAATGTTGGTGCGTCTTATACACCAAATACAGCCATTTTTGGCCTCCTGAGGCCCCGCCCCCACATCCCATTTTTGTGAAAAATGCAGGCTTTTTTGCCTTCCCTCAGCCCCCAGCAGCCCTCTGCAGGCTTTAGCAGGGCTGGGGCAAGGCAAAAATGCCCCCGTTTTTGCGAAAAATGGGCAGTTTTTCACAAAAATGGAGGCTTTTTTTTTTTTTTTTGCCTTCCCTCAGCTGCCAGCAGCACCCTGCTGAAGCCTGCAGAGTGCTGCTGGGGCTGAGGGAAGGCAAAAACTTTTTTTTCTTACTTGCTTCTTCGAAATCTTGGTGCGTCTTATACACCGGTGCGTCTTATAATCCGAAAAATACGGTAAACAGTTTCAAAAAGTACCTGAGATGCTTTTACTCTTGATTATCAGACAGTCATGAGTTTTGGCAGAAAGGATGTGTGTACCTAGCGCAGAAGGTCCACCCGGAGGAAGTCTAGCAGCACTAAGCTGCATGTGGCACATCTTTTTTTTTTAATCAAACTTTTTATTTGTACCAGTGTAAAGGGGCCAGACATCATGCTGAAGTATGATTTGTATTTTTCAATAACATATAGAGACAAACAGTGCTTCAAAAGCTGTTTTGGCATGTGTGAGTGCGAAAGTAGCACCTCTCTGAACACCTTGTTGCAGCCCGACAAGTTTGTTTGTGCTTTTGCATGCTTAAGTATCTTCTGGAGGCTGAATTGAAAGCATTGCATAGACCCAGGAATATTATAAGCATCTCCCTGGCTATCATCCTATTCCAAAAATGCTATTGGAGCACAAATACCTCTGTTATTCTTTTCTTCTCACAAATGCCTATAAAAGCACTTTGTTTGCAGTTGGGTTTTATGCTACACAGTAAGCTATACTTGCCTTAAGCACTGTTAGTGAATAAACCAAAAATTTGATGGATTCACACAATCCATGAGCCACGATTACACATTAAGCTTCAATGCACATGAACAAAGTCTGCACCCTAAAGCAGTCCGGATCAATCCGTCTGTTTTTTAAAATGTCCTTATTCATTTGGCTGTTTGGATAACTGTTGCAGTCCATTTGATCCTCTGTCCTTTTGTGAATGGCTATATGGAAGTATTGAATTGTCATTTGTATGTAACATCGGCACTGATACATCAATGGCAATAAGGTAAACGTAGCCCTCAGTACCACTCCAAAGGACTCAAAATCTGATCATGATCCCATTCCATTGTCTGATTTTTCAAACACCTTACACGCTTTGAAGTCATGTTCATGTCATCAGAAACTTAATGCTGGCAAGAAGCAAGAAGGGTTGAGTTGATATGGGCTCTCCTCTCTTTCAGATATCACTGTGATCTGTCCCTGGGAAGCTTTCAGCCACCTGGAGCTCCATGAACTGGCACAGTATGGTATCATTTGAAGATGTACAAGCCAGAAATGGGCCTGATATATGCCTTTCATTCAGCAAGCAAGAACAGTTCATGAGCATTCCCATTATCCGTATTCCTAGCCCTGCAAATTCACTATCCCAGTAGTAGCCTTTTGGGGCCTATAGCAATTGCTCATTAAAATAAAATCCAAGTGAATAAATCTTTGGCTTGGTTTCATACTATGGTTCCTGCAAGGATTTCCTTCCCTCCAATTAAACATTTGCATAAAAGAAAGTCACAATGAACCTGAGAAATGACTTCATTTTATACACAGTAAGTCCTACATTTTACAATATTTCCTTCTAATCTTTTTTTTATTTCTAGTGTTTTCCCCCCACATATGCAGGGTGCCTCCTTTTTTTCTAGATCTTCTGAGCGCCCATTGGTTGTAACAGAAACTGACTGTTGCCCAAACCTGACATCATGGGTTGAGAGAGAATGAATGACCCAAAATCACCCAGCTGGCTTTCATGTCTAAAATGGGAATGGAACTCTCTGTTTCCTTATTTATAGCCTGGTGTCTTAACCACTAACCAAAACTGGCCCTCTTTCATTCTGATCTGTCCCTTGGATCATAAAAACTTTATGCAGTAGCTGATTTAACTGAAAACTATTGCAATATTCATTGCTTATGTAAGATGCCAGCAATTGAAGGTCCAGGAGATGGACTGCAGTGATGCACCTTTAAAAGAAATCTGAATAATTACAGATTTACATTTGCACAAAATACAAATATTGAAAATGTTAATATGCTTCACCTGTAAAATCTTGAAACTTTCAACTAAAAATAAACAGAATAAAATGTTTGGACAAGATAAATATTTATTTAAATGAAACTCTACTTCCTTTTTAGTGGAGGAGACATACTTTCAAGGAATTCAACAGTGTTTGCTTCTAGATAAATGAATACAGAATTCCAACCTCAATTTCTCCACCACACATAAAGCCATTAACTTTGAGAAGGGATGGCTGTACTGTTGCTATGTAACAATTGATGCAATTAGTTCTATGAGCCAAAAGTTGTTGATTATAGACATTAAAATATGACACTGAATAGATTTAAGAAAGTAAGCATTATATATATAATTAATGAAGAAAAAACTTATTTACAACCAGGACTGAATGAAGCATATAAGAAAAATATTATATTAGGGCAATATAAGTATCTTTGGAAAGCTCATCTTTGGTAAGATCACACTTGGAATTCTGCACCCAGTTTTGGTCATCACAATACAAAAGAATGAGGTCAGAGAAGAGTAACAAAAATGATTAGGTAGATGGAGGCTAGGATGTTTGATGAACAGTTGCAGGAGCTAGATATGTCTAATCTAATGAACAGAAGGACCAGGGGTGACATGATAGCGGTCTTCCAAAATTTGATGGGCTGTCACAAAAAAGAGGGAATCAACCTATTCTCCAAAGCACCTGAAGGCAGAACAAGAAGTTTTGGATGGAAATTTGTTGAGACAACCAACCTAGAAATAAGATGAAATTTCCTGATAGTGAAAACAATTAAAGTCTTGCCTCCATAATTTGGAGGTGCTCCAACACTGGATGTCTTAAGAAGAGAATAGACAGCTATTTGTCCAGAATGGTATAGGATCGCCTGCTTGAGCAGGGGATTGGATAGGAAAACCTCCAAGGTTTCCTCTTACTCTATTGTTCTGTATTCTGTGAGATATGGCAAAGTAGTGGCATTTGTGCCTTTTGCATTTCGGCCCCTCAGTCTCTCCTGAGTGGAGATCTGCTACAATATGCAACTCTGAATTATTGTACTTTCACTTCAGAAAGGTGTGAGAAAGAATGAGAAGGGACAACGTGTTCCTATTTTTGCTTCTTCTTGTTTTGGAAACATGTAACTGGATTGGAGGGACGTGGTGGCTCAGTGGCTAAGACGATGAGCTTGTTGATCAGAAATTTGGCAGTTCGGCGGTTAGAATCCCTAGCACCGCGTAACTGAGTGAGCTCCCATTACTTGTCCCAGTCTCTGCCAACCTAGCAGTTCGAAAGCATGTAAAAATGCAAATAGAAAAATAGCAACTACCTTTGGTGGGAAAGTAACAGCGCTCCGGGTGCCTTCGGTATTTAGTCATGCCAGCTGCATGACCACGGAGATGTCTTTGGACAGCTCTGGCTCTTCGACTTTGAAACGGAGATGAGCACTGCCCCCTAGAGCTGGAAATAACCAGCATGCAAGTGCAGGGGAGCCTTTACCTTTTACCTGGATTGAAAGTAGTTCCATATCAAAATCAGGAATGAATGATTTTGAGATATTACTATGAATAATGAGTTGCTAGATTTATAGGGAAGTAGCCTGGGTGTAAAGGTCATCTGCTACATTATTCCTCTTTTTCTGACCACAGAGTGAAGAGGTGGCAGGAGTTATCAGAAAACAAAGGGAACTAGGAGAATGGGCAAGATAAATACATGTGAAAATCAACTTTTGTCCCCCCCCCCGGTCCATTTTATCCTGAGTAAATTAACTAGTACAAATGATATTATATAATACTTTATATTGTATTCCTCAAAAGATTATGAATACATCCATCTCTCCCAATAGGAGAACTAATGCGTGCCCTCCTTCCCACTATAATGCTGAGTCCGAGCAGAAGCAATGCCTGCCAGGACCTTAATGGCCAGAAGCAGGCTACCTACTTCAATCACAACCAAAACTACAGCAAAGAAGCCTATTGTTCCTGCGTGACTATTGAGCCACCTGTTTAACTGGGGAACACAGCCTCCAAGATAGATGGTGCTTTGAACTGCAAACTCCTCCATGCCCAGGGTGCCAAAGCCACACTGGGAATTCAGGATGGTACCATTTTCCAGTGGATTCAGACAACACGATGCAGGAACGCCACAGGCTTGCACACCTGGAGAAGTGCAGTTAAAATACCTGTTAAGTTAAAAAAAAAAAGGAAGAAATGTTTCATTCTTAAGTTCATCCCAAGGCGCATCTCCCAGGTTTTTTCAGTATCTACTTTGTCCTCCCAATGTAAGCCAGATGATCCCATGGCCAATCTATCTGTGAATTCATTGGATCAAGATCTATATATGCAACAAGAAAGTACCCCCTACCCCATTGCTACTGGGTTCCAGAAAATCTTGAGGTAATCTAGCACAATTCATGCAGGATTCTATCTGTATTTCAGTTTACCATTTTCCCTCTTCATCTAATGGATAGTTTATCAAATCAGCTGTTAGACTGTTTGCTAGGACTGAAGCCTGCTGCAGTGACTCAAGGAGCGGTAACTGCAACTATAATATCTCCTAAACTTTGAAGAACCAATAATGATGGAAACATGGGAAAAGATAATGGTAAGAAACGTAAAATTTACGCAAGCCCAAAATCTGAGAGAGAATTTCTACAAGATATTTTATAGATGGCATTTAGATCCTAAAAAATTAGCTTGTATGTATCCGAACTTACAACCTAAATGCTGGAGATGTGATTGTGCTGATGCTACGTATTATCATATATGGTGGACTTGTAAAAAGGTCAATGCATTTTAGATAAAAATATGGTGGGTTATGCAAAATATTCTTAAAAAGAGGATAAAGTTTACTCCTCAGTTATTCTTGTTAGGTATAATCACAGACTGTACAGTCCTAGAGACTAATTTGGATACATACAAGCTAATTTTTGTAGGATCTAAATGCCATCTA